ACAAGGACGACTCAAATAGACATTGAGTAATAATGTGATTAATGCAGCTTTGCACACATTTGTTTACGTTTTACAGAAACAAAACTTAAAACCACATGACTCATTTGCATCAACTATAAGTGCTGGAAAAAAAAACAAAAAAACGCTCGCTCCTGTTAGTCTGTTTGATCTCAGAAGCTCAGCAGGGCCGGGCCTGGTTAGTACTTGGATGGGAGACCTTTGGGAAGTGGGGCACCAGTGTAAAAAACTGTTGTTGTGTCTTTAGGCAAGACATTTCACCCACATTGCCTAGTATGAAAGTGGAGTGTGCGTGAGTGTTGGTGGTGGTCGGAAGGGCCGATGACGCAAATTGCCAGCCTCGTTTCTGCCAGTCTGCCCCGGGGCCGCTGTGGCTGCAGTAGTACCTTGTGGTGTTACCTGCCTAGGGACTACAGATTGAAATTAGTATTCTTGCTATAATCTGTCATATTTACACTGCAATGTTCGTTAATATGCACTGTTCCAATTAAATAAGTAAATAAATAAAATACATAAATTAATAAAATAAATTAATTAATAAATCATCACCGAGTGTGGAGTGAATGAATAATGAACTGTCAAGAGTTTGTGTATCTTGAAAGATGCTATATAAATGCAATGATTAATTAATTAATTAAATCGTGCGCTGATGCGGTCAGCTTCCTTCGGACTCCGTGAGGCTCCTGACTGTAACAGCCGTAATGCTCCAATCCATCAAATGGTGAGGCTTCGTAGTTTACCAAAGTCGTACTAAAACATTTTGACAGATTTTTGAGTGCTGTGTACCAAATAAAATCAGTTTGAGGTCAGTAAGCACAACCAGAACTAATACATACGGCACACTATATTATAAGACGCTAGGGATGGGCATTCATTTAAATTTTCTTAATCGATCGTCAAGAGAATTAATGATTGATTATCGATTAATCATTAACGTTTTTATATTAAAATTATCATCATTATTATTACTATTTGCACTACTAATCTGCATAAATAAATTCAACTTTACGACATATAAACCGTAACCACTCTAGAGCCACATCAGCCTGTTTGACATTATAATGTGTTTAATGCAGTTTTGCACAACTCACAGAAATGAAACTTAAAACCACATGGCTAATTTGCATAAACTAAGCGAAGAAAAAAACAGCTCTTGTGCGCTGATGCGGCACGACTCAGGTTAGTGTGACCATATTTGCGTTTGTCAAAACCAAGATACCGTACGGGGGGAGGGAGGTGGGGACTCGACATCGACATTGCGCTACTCTCACCTGGCAAAGCTTTTTCATGTTTTCAGTGTCCTGGTGAGCTTTTTCCCACTGGACACCGAAACATATGTGCTGCTTTGTACATTGTGCACATGGACTCACACTTGTCCTGACCGAAACGGAAAGCATGGAATTTCTTGCACAAGTCATCGTTAAATACGCATTTGCACTTCGGCACGTTGCAGGCTGACCGACTGTTTGTGTCTGCTCGCTCCTTCTGAGCGCAGAAAGCTACATGTACGGACCTCCGTTTGTCCCCGGACACGGACGTTTGGTCACCCTACACTACGCACAGCAGCCTAAATTCAGTTTGTCGATTAAAATGAACATAATCGATGAAATTCTTAATGATAAATTATTGATTAATCGACTAATCATGCCCATCCCTATAAGACGCACTGTCGATTTTTGAAAAAAGTAAAGGATTTTCAGTGCGCCTTATAGTCCAAAAACTACAGCATATAGCAGACACAAGCACAATATGTCTTCTAATATTTGGCCGTGTCAGTGGGTGGATAGAGGCATGTTAGATGGACTCTGAATTTTTATATGGTCTGGTTTATGGCTCTGGGACTGAAAAGTAAAACTTGGGTCTAGTCTACACGTGTTCTATCATCCATCATTCATGTACGTTTAGTTGTTATAATTCTACAAAATAAACAGTATTTTTGTCATTATAATTACATTTTAGTCTGCAAAAATATGACGAAGAATATAAAATGATGTTGTAAACCAGCGGGACTGCCAATGTGGAATAAAAAGAAGGAGAAACCTCTACTATTCACACTACATCTCAATACTGTAATAAATCAGCAGGTTGAGTCGCTAATTGAAAATGTGATAATCGTGTCAGCTTCGTCTGCTGCTACGATAACAGAAATGAGTTCTATATATTCCAGAGGAGCCCACAGTGCAGATGCTGAACATGACGTCACTCTATTTCTTTAATTTTACATTGCGTATTTGCATTGGAGACCGTACAGTAATCCTAAGTAATTGCCAGGCTTGGACTACATTACAGTGTATTGGAAAAAGAATTGAGCTTTGGGAAGCACAGAATGGTGAGGGTAAAGCAAGACACAGAGGAAATAAGTACATCAAAAGAATACGCAAGTGTTATGAGCTAGCGGGTTTGTTCATATGTTCTGAAATCCACGAAAACGACTTAAATGAGCTTTGCAACCAGGATTTAGCTGGGAGAAGAATCCATTTTAGAAATTAAATTCTATATTCTGTATTTACAAAAGACTAAAAAGGATTATAAAAACACCAGCAGTGGGAAAATACAGCTGGCCCACTCCGGTGTTTTTTTTTTTTTTTTCTGTCTTTAAAGGTCCTGTATTACACAAAACTGACTCTCGTGAGCTGTGAGACATGTTATAAAACTGTTACGTCCTCAAAAACAGACCTCGAGTTGTGTTTTGTTTCATTCACACATTTGAGTAACGCTTTATTATTAGTCTGTTTACATCTCCAAAGCTCAAAATGCTCTGTTCCACCTTGTGATGTCATGGAGCTGTAGTTTTCAAGGTATCAACAGCCTTTTACTTTTTGTTCAGTAGAAAATCATCCCAAAAGATTCTAGTTTATTTTTGTCACTTAATTTTGATTGAGCATTTTATACAATCACAATACAATAACAAATCAGGCACAGTCGGCAAGGAATTTAACATACATTTAGATGAAAAAATAAATACATATATAAACCCATATATACATACATACACATATGTCATACATATGTCACTCTAAAATTGTTTTATAGGTACATAGCTGGAGCAGCACTGACTATTTACCAATTTTCACTGTGATATTTAGACCATTTAGTCCTGTGGGTCGTTTGGTACCAAGCCGCGAAAGTGCAAACCCCCCCCCATACAATTTGTGGACTGTCCGACCGTACCCCCCCTTCCCTACACCACGTGGACCGTCCCCCATCCCTTACGTCACGCGGACCTTCCCCCTCCCCTACACCACCCAGACTGCACACCACACGGACCGTCACGCCTCCTGCACGTCGCGTGGACCTTCCCCTGTCTCAAAAGCCATGCAGACCCTCCCTCCCTCCTGTATGTCGCACGGACCACCCCCCCCCCCCCCCCCTCCCCCCGAAATCCACGTGGACCGTGGACCGTCCCTCCCTCCTGTACGTCACATGGACCGTCCCCTCTCCTGTTCGTCGTGCGGACTGTCCCTCCTCCCGTTCACCGCGCGGACCGTCCCCCCCTCCTGCACGTCACGTGGACTGGCCTCCCCCCATTCTGTACGTCGCGCCAACCGTCCTCCCCCTCCTGTACGACGCGCGGACCTTCCCCTGTCCCGAAATCCACATTGACCGTCCCTCCTCCCATACATCGTGCGGACTGTCCCTCGTCCCGTACATCACGCGGACCGTCCCAGTCTAAACCAGGTCTAAACCAGGCCTAAACCAGGTCTAAAAACAGGTCTAAAATCAGGTCTAAAACAGGATTTAGCCAGGACTTAACCTTCCTCCCATACGCAGTCCCCCCACCCCAACTCCCTCCAGTCTGCGAAATATTGTCTGATATAAAACCAGTTGGGGACCACTGATTTAGCCCATCTTGCATAATAAACATCAGCTTGAAGCCTTAGCATGTGTGTCAGGCATTTCTACAATTATTTTTAAACATGGTGGATCTGGTTGAAGTCATTTACGGGTAATTGCCCATTTGCACAGGCACAAAGGATTTTGAATAAATATGTAACATTGCCAGGTAAATCAGGTGTATCCCTCATGTATAGTCTCATCACATTTTGAGTAATAGTAAAGCCAGATATTTGTCCAGTTGTTGATCTAATGTGTGTGGTGGATAGATCTGCCACCGCTCCACAGTGTCAGTATTATTTCATTTCATTTCATTTACATCAAGTTAATTACATCACACATAATTTAATTCCTTTATTTAGACTTATATTCTAATTTGGGTGCACACATTTTAGTTAATATAAGTCTGAATTCTTTACTTAGACTTGTTCTTTTTGAGGAGGAGCACTATTTATTCAGTTTTAGTTTGCTTTAATTTCACTTTATTATCACTTTGATTAAGTTAATAGTTTTAGTTAATTTAAACACCCCTGTTCTTTGTCTGGTTGCGTTTGTTTTGTTCTGTTCAGTTTGATTTGAGTCTTTTGTTCATGATTTACCTAATTTGAGCCTTTGTTAAATTATCTCTTTTTTAAATTTATCTCCACAAGTCCTCCAACATGAAGAACTGTCCGGGTTCCAACTCATTTTGTTGCTCAAAAGATTCTAGTTTAAAAACACAATGGAGCACTTCCTGTTTTACCACATGACATCACAAGGTGGAATTGTGATTTCTGTTTGAGAGAAGAACTCAGCCTAAATATGCAAAGTCTGTCTGTTACAATGTGTGAATGAAACAAATCAAAACCCAAGTCCAGGTATGTTTCTTTTTTTTTTTATGAGGAAATTACAAACATACATTAACATTTTGCGTAATATGGGCCCTTTAAGCTCCTTTTACCAAAAGAACGTGATCATTTTTGAGGGCACCATGGAGTTTTGCGTGCGTGTAATTGTGTCTGTCAAAGCGTATGATCTATGGCATGTTTAGTAGGGCCATGAAGAGATAATGATCCACGCAGATGTCAACAGATTCATCAGTTGCTGCCATCTCCTCAGCTCGTTTTGATTAAGTGCTAATTGATGGCGCTGGTCTCTTCTCTTGGCAGTTCTGGCCACGGATTGCGACTCTGGGTTAAACGCGGAGCTGACCTACTACACGCTCAGCCCCGACTTCAGCATCTCTCCCCACGGGACGGTCTTTCCCGCGGGGAGACTGGACTACGAGAGGCCCAACCATCTGTACGAGTTCGTGGTGATGGCGGTGGACAGCGGAGACGAGCCGCATTCTGGAACTGCCACCGTCCGAGTGCGGATGGCCAATGTCAACGACGAAGCTCCGGAGTTCTCCCAGCCAGTGTGAGCAGCCGCATTCATAATTCATAACTGTCACATTAAAACTGGTCAGTGCTGTTAGATTTCATAGAAAGAGTTGCGTACTTTAAAGCTGCATGGTGTAACATTGCTGGTTGAGGGTCCATCAAATGCTTTTCTCAGTGGAAATGTTATTGTTTTTGTCTGGAATATTTCAAAGTATGGCATAAACCGTTCTATCTTCAAGGAGACCAAACCAAATCAAATTACAGGTCAGGTCTGTGGATAGGGGACCCTGCTCACAGTCAGAATGCCTGTTTTTCTAGGTATTTTTGAGCTATAAAACCCACCTGTAATTGAATAAATGTAAGGTAGAGCTGTTTAATGTCATACTGTGGAACATTCCAGGCAGAGCAATGATATATCCATGGAAACAACGGCGGACCCCCAACCGTAAAGTTTCATAGAGTGAATATACATGTACATCAGTATCCTGGTTATGACAGTATTCGGAATACTACGTATACATGCCACAGTATCCCGGGTACTATCGGAATATACCAGCTACAGAATACTGCCGTATGCAGGATACTGAAATCGGAATACTGCATATACATGCACCAGGATATGTAAAAAACCTGATCATAACTGTGATACTGATGTGCATGTAAACACACTCATAGTGTGATGCCAGCAAATCAAATTATAGCTCAAGTACTTTGGAGAAATAAAATCACCTGTAACTGTATAAATGCAAGATGGATAAGTTTAATGCAATACTGTGGAATATTCCAGGCAGAGCAATGATAAATCCTTTGAAACAAGCAGGTGACGGAACCCCAACCAAAACTATTAATTAATATGTGTGAAAAATCCCTCAGTCATCCAGGTAGAATCCACTTCACACAAGAGGATGTACCAACACAGATGAGAGCAGCAGTGGACCTCAGTCTGCTGTCCATCTCCACCTAAAACACACACAGCCCACTCCTTTGAGGACAGTGAGGTACAGATCTGAGCCAGAGAAAAGAATTGGTTTGAGAGGGGAGTTAAAAAGGCTATTTTTGTTAAGAAAGAGAATCCTTCTCTAAAGAGAAATGGGAGACTCAGACACCATCTGTCTCCTATTTACAACTCCATCCTCAAACCTAAATCAAAACAAAGAGAAAAGGTGTAGCCAGGTCAAGCCCAGTGGTGTGAAAGCTCCATTATGGCTATGAATGATTCAGCTGATAAGACCCCACCCTCAGTGCAGCTGAATAGGCCTAACTAAATAACAGAAACAGTAAACAAGTAGGTGTGTTAGTTTCGGAGTAGTTTCAGTGTAGTTAGCTCCTCCCTTCAGACAGATAAAAGGCAGTGCCCACCAGCGTCTGACCAGAACTGAAGCAGCTTGGTTGAGCTGTGAAACATTCGACCAAAATAAACTTTGTCTTGTTGACAAATTGAGTTTCTCCTTTGCTATTAATTAATAATTACTCATTTCGATGAAGGCAAACAAGTAGCAGACCCACCTCCTGAAAGTTACACAGTGCACCTTTAAAACAGACCTATTCTGCAACCATGTTATAGTTGTTTCTCCTCATCATTTCCTCACTTGAAGTTGCATTTGGAGTGATTTGTGCGTGTTTCAGTAATCTTTAATCACTTATCAAAACGCCATATTGCTGATCAACCCCTGTTTTCACCCCCATCTGTGATACACGTAGGCAATGTTCCCCCTAATTTTTCATGTGTCTGAACAAACACACCAACTCCCCGAGCATTCCTTGGACCCCCGTGAGCAACATCCGACATGCACACTGTGGCACACCAGCATCACATCTGAGATCATCGCAAGTTACATATCTTATCAATCAAATGACTGCAGTTATTTCCATTTCCACAGATTTTTCACTTAGAATAACAAAGACACAAATGTTGTTGTTCATGTGTTTTGTATATGTTGTATTTCAGTGCGAGGGTCCTGCTGTGCTCAGTGAAACATTGAACATTACAATATTTTTGAATAATAGCTTCATAAATAAAACTAAACTACAGTGTATAAACATGTAAAATCACACGAAGAGAGATTTTTTAATGGATTGTAGGACCTATAGGAAGATGGATCATCGTTCCCACAATAATGATCTCCAAAATAACTCTAAATTATTATCACTTTATATCTTGCTGTATTAATCATTAGCCTATTTAAGCCATTTTGTGTGAGTGGCTCTGGCTCGGTGGTAAAACACTAAGGGGAGAAGCTTCACATTTCAAGAAAGTCCGGTCTTTTTGGCTCAAAAAATAAAAAACTAAAAACTATGGCCTGGACAGAAACAAAGCAAAGAGGCGAGGATTACATTATGGCTCTACCTGGGACTCAATTATGGAAAAAAATTATTATCACGGTTATTTTGGTCAATATTGAAATCACTATTATTATTTTTTAGTTACACGATGCATTTATTCAGCACTTTTGTTATTGATAATTTATGCAAAATGTTTAAATTGAAAATACAGGCTACAAATCTGTACCTTTGAGCAGTTTTGCAATGTATAAAACATAAAATGAAAATAATATACTTTGAAAATGAAATAAGACATAGAAAAACATAAATGTGTCCAAAATAAACTATATATCCAGCTGTTCTACAATCTCTATATTTAAAAAGTAAAATAAATATACTTATTCATGTAAAAATATCCCCAAATAAACTTTAGTTAAGCTTTAAACAAAGAGATCGTTTGACACACAAATTGAAATCTCGATCAAAATTCGATTAATTGCACAGCCTTAGCTCTACCTGTCTCCTCTTCATGTGTTCTTCCCCCCCGCCGAGTGTGTGTGGGCAGCGCTCCCGTCGGCTCGTCGGACCTGCAGTTCTAGCCAGCGGCGATGTGCACTACAACTACGGTCGTACTGAAAAAAAAAAGCAAGCAAAATGCGGTCGAAATGTATCTGTTTGTAGTTGGCTTGTCCCTGAACCTGAATCTATCAGATTAGCCGTTCCATGCGTCAAACCAGCGCTGTGTTTATCAGTTCAGGTTAGAATTTATTTTATGTGCTGCAAAGAATTTGATGTGCATGCTGAACGTCTGGGCAGTGCGAGATCGCAAGCATTGCACGTAGGTTTCCGCAGTGTTGCATAGTAATTTTTAGTCTGACCTCGCAGTGTTAGAATTTGTTCGCTTGACGGTAGGCGGGTACTTTTTTATTTTACCAATCTCTGCTATTTGGTCATGACGTATGTAATGCGCCGCTAACAGGGCTAACTGGGATATTAATCTTTTCCCAAATCCTGTAGGAAGAAGGTCAATAATGTCTTTCCCCTTGATTAAAATTCACCAAACATTCTCTTTGTTCTGGCTTTAAATCCCCGATCTCAGAAATCATTGACAACACGGAATATATGACACTTCTCTGATTGGCTGGTGCCCGAACTCGCATCGTCTAGTTTATTCCGATTTCTGACTTAATCGCTGGTAGACTGCAGGGCTTAACGCTCAATTTGGATTTTTTTGTGAAGTCCGATGTTTTTGCGAGGTCGTTTACATTTCCAATTAAATGCGACTTGTATGTGATCTCCAGTGTGAACATTAAATGGCCCAAAAGTGTCCCGCATGTGCACTGGAGACACGACGACGTCAACCGTGTTTACTGAAGTTGTCCAAACATGGAGGCGAGAATTGAGCACCTGGAGATTTTAAAGTTTCTCTCGTACCGGAGCCAAAACATGAACAACTTACTTGTTTTAAGGAGGAGATTGAGAAGGAGAAGGACGAGGTTTTTGGCCGTGGCGTTTGTGGGACAGCGACAGTAACGTCTGTTGAAAGGAACGTGTGGATGCGCAGACGTAGCCAAGAGCGGTGAGTGGTGATGTGCTTCGCTTCAGTGACACGGAGTTCATTAACAATTTTCGCCTACTTCAGTGCAGAATAGTGACATTTGTGGCTTGTTGATAACGTGTAGGTCAGATGAATGCGCTTTGGCCGTTCAGATTGAAGTCACATGTCAAAAGATCAGATATGTATCGGTTTTAAGAGCGCATATTGAAGTGGCCTGGGTCGCATTTGAAAAAATTGGATCTGTGTCGTCATTAAAAGATCAGATACAAGTCACATAGGGGCCAAAAAAATCGGTTTTGGGTCACTTCAGGCTGCAGTCTGAACATAGCCTAAGTGGCACCAGCCTGGCTCCGTCATTTTGGTACAAATGAAAATAAAATTTTAAATATCTGCTTCTTGCTAGTGTAATGTGCAGCTATCCATAGGAGAAGCCAACAACTTCACAGTTATTTGTTGTGATGACATTTACAGCGACGTCAGCTCCCACTGGGCACCACAGTCTTACAATGTAGAACTCGGTGGACTCATTTTAGATAAATATAACTTGCAAATTACCACAAAATGATCCACGGTTGTCATGGATTATAATTATATAGTGGACTCGAGCACTATATGTCTTCTTTAAAATGCCCCCAACTGCTCATGTGAGAAACGGCATTATTATCAGTGATCTTTGTTAAAGGCCGTGTCGTTCTGCAGCCTATAATCACTCCAGACTCATTCTAAATTTATCTCTGTGGAAGGACGCTGAAATGGGCCTCTCCGTTTGAAACCGTTGAAAGCTGCAAAGTGAACCAGAATTGTGATAACGTCAAAAACATCACCCGGGCTTTTGGAAAATCATAACACATTTTTACCAAATGAAATGAAATAGTCGAGTGATCCTCCTTATCCCAATGCTCGTACTTTTAAGGTACTTTACTAGTACATTGCAAAAAATTTGAATATCATGAAAAAGTCAGTCAGAGTGTATGGTTTTCTAGGTATTTTTGAGCTATAAAACCACCTGTAAAGTGTAAAGTAGAGCTGTTTAATGTCATACTGTGGAACATTCCAGGCAGAGGAATGATATATCTCCATAGAAACAAGCAGATGACGAACTTCCAATCAAAATATTACCTTAATGAATGTTCTGTGTACCTCAGAAGAGTCCATTTTGTACTTTTGTATTACTAGTCCACTGCAAAAAAAAATTAAAATATCATGTAAAAGTTCAA